CCTGAGAAAGCATGCAGTAGTCTATCCTGCGTCGGAATCTTGTATGTCGCCACTCGAGCCTCTGAAAGTATTTCCCACAGGGAGGGAGCTGGTTATTTCTCTCAACAGCAGTTCATTTTTAAGACCATGGTTAGAAAAAACAAACCCTGCTTTCAGGCGTTCCTCTGATTCATATCTGATTTGCTGTGATGGACGTGGTCAGAAATAGGGCTGCAACAACTAATCGACATAATCGATTATAATCGATTATTGAAAAAGTTGTTAACTTTTTCAATAATCGATTAATCGGCTTCCGATTGGTTGGCCCTGTTCACGGCTCCACACACGCTGCACGCCGCACCTCCTCCCCACCTCACGCTCGCCGCTGCCAGGCCCGCCCGCATCCACACCTCCTCCCGCCTCACGCTCAGTGCTCGCCCAAATCCACGATCGGCACAGGTGCGCGGGGAGAAGAAGTAAGGAGGAGCAGGCGTGAGGGAATGACAATAGGCCCGATCTCAGAAACAAGTTGCTGGAAGACTGCTCAGGTAAGCCTGCACTTTCCCACACATGGTGCTCTATAATGTATTGCTGGGATTTGTATTCCTCTATACCTGATGGTACATTGTGATGTATATTAGATCAGCTATAGAGGAATACAAATCCCAGCAATACATTGTACACTGTATGTATAATGTATTGCTGGGATTTGTTGTATTCCTTTGTAGCTGGTGGTATTCTGCATTGCGCTGTATGGAGGACTACAAATCAAGGAATAATATATTATACAGCGCAATGCGGAATACCACCAGCTATAGACGAGTACAACAAATCCCAGCAATAATACATTATACAGCGCAATGCAGAATACCACTAGCTATAGAGGACTACAACACCCAGCAATAGTACATTATACAGCACAATGCAGAATACCACCAGATATAATGTACTATTGCTGGGATTTGTTGTACTCCTCTATAGCTGGTGGTATTCTGCATTGTGCTGTATAATGTACTATTGCTGGGTTTTGTAGTCCTTAATAGGCGGTGCCATTCTACATTAATTGCTGTATAATTTTACACTTTTCATTTCACTATATTGCACACCACACTTTTTTTTTCCTTTTCTTTACTTCCACCGCTCCAAGCTTGCTTCTGTGATGGACTACAATCTCAATACAGACTAGTAGTCCATCACTGGAGCCATTTTTTTAAATGTATTTAATTTTTTTATCCGATTAACCGATTAATCGAACTTAATAATCGTCCAACTAATCGATTTTGAAAATAATCGTTAGCTGCAGCTCTAGTCAGAAATTGCCTTTGAGTTGGACTGCAGTGGAATATACTAGTTCTGGGGCAAGAAATCGAATTACTGTGTTACTGCCCGCTAGCAGGCACAGGAGTTGGGGAACGCTGGTCTTCAGATGGGTGAAATTAGAGAGTACTCAAGACTCTGGGTTCCTGCACTTTATAACTATTGGCTTTTTGTTTTGTGTCAGTGACAGGTTCCTTTAAAGTGACATTAAACCCTCAGATTTTTTAACATAAACCAATACTGTAATGTGTGCCTTACTGTAATCCATGGTTGTTTCCCTTCTCTTTGCTGCTCTTACTTTTAAATCCTCATGTCTTCTCATGCTTGGGGAGAACTTCCCTTTTCAGCTCAGGGCCTCTTTCTGTAGTGCTGGCTCAGGTTACAAGTCTATAGAAACCTACACACAGACACCGTGTATCCATTCCTGAGACAAGGCAGTCTGCTGCAAAACAGAAGTTCTGCCCAGCATGAGAACAGATACAGATTTAAAAGGAAGAGCAGCAAAGAGAAGGGAAACAACCATGGATTACAGTAAGGCACACATTACAGTATTTTATGTTAACAAATCTGAGGGTTTAATGTCACTTTAATGTTTGTTAAAAAATCAGTAGGTGGGAGTGAGACCCCCCTAGTTATGGCAGCTCAGTCTAATGGTGGGTATTCCGGCGAAGGTGGTAAACTTGTTTTTGCTCTATTCTGCTAAAAGCATTCAAGAGAACATCACGACTTGGGGCTAGTTGCAGCTTGGTGTTGCACAACTATTTATTATGATGTATCTGCCGCATAATAGATAAATCTCTGCTGGGGGCTCACCATTTCTAATCTTTTCTAAGCTCAGTATCATGCTACAGTTTATTTTGGCTGTTAGATTGCATTTGGCAGTGAGGTTGGTAGAAACTGTTTTGTGTCTTACAGTTTAGGAACACTGAAAATGACAGACTTCCAATCACTTCTTATCTCTTGTCTTGACTATTGCAACTCCCTCCTCATTGGCTTACCTCTACACAGACTATCCCCCTCTTTCAATCTATCATGAATGCTGCTGCTAGACTCATTTACCTAACCAACCGCTCAGTGTCTGCAACCCCCCTCTGCCAATCCCTGCACTGGCTTCCAATAGCCCAAAGGATACAATTCAAAATATTAAGCACATGCAAAGCCATATAGCCCCGGCTATATCTCAAACCTTGTCTCTAAGTATCACCCTAACCGGCCCCTCCACTCTTCCAAAGACCTTTTTGCTTTTGGGAATGTTAGTTCTTTGACTGTGATGCTTTGGCCTCCACAGTCTCTGACCTGGAACAAGTATAGCCAAAAAGAATTGAGACACATTTGCAGCATACATATTCTGGGTCTGTGACTCAAAAGTTTTGGAGCCAGATACACCCAGGCAACTAGCATTTTAAAGAGTACCAGAAATGGTGGTTCCATGACCGTCCGTTTATCCAAGGAACTAAAACTGAAGGGAACCTCCAAGAGCAGATCAATACTCCCCTTTCCAGTGGGTGGCATAATGGCACTTGGGTCTCTTACAGGCCCCACTTCCATCTGATGGATAGGAAGTACCCCACTGGCCTCTGTAGCTCATCTTAGAGAATCCATCACTACAGGACATCAGACACCCAGCTTTCTCAGCCTCGGTAGATATTCCTGACCCTAGCCATAACTATGTGCCGCTTTGATAGCCCACCTCCACACTACAATTCTCTAGAGCCATAATTATTCTGGGTTTGTAATGAATTTGACCATCACTCCCTGCTACTCATGACATTACAAATGTGTTTTCCCCCAATAATCTTCCAGGACAGCAATCGGAGAATTAGGCTTGCTGTCCTGGAAGATTCTAAGAAATATCGTTACCTGTAAGTCTGAAGGGGAATTTCCCCAATCCTGTTCCAGGACAGCAAGGCTACTTTTCATTTTGCTGTTCTGGAAGATTCCTAGAAATAACTTTATCTGTAATTTTAACGGAATTTTTTTTTTTTTTTTTACCTTCCTAGTTGTTCAGATAAATACCTTTTTTCATGAGTAACATCCGTTTCATTCATGCAGCACTGCCATACTCGAGCACCCAGAGGAGGGATCAAACAAGTGGCGTCACTTCAGCTCACTGTGTGGCGCAGCTTGAACAAAACGCAGTGGGAATTGTGGTTCCCAATGGGCAGGATTGTGGGCGGGTCAGTCAAGTATGAAGGTATTGGTGGGGCAGGACAGACCACGAGTTTTCTGGCCTGTCAAAGGTCGGCATGTAAGTGGTCAGACTCCTGGGTCCTCCCACTACAGTAAGCGGTAACATAATTACATGCAGCTCACTTGTAAATGAACTACACAAGGGTGTTACAAGACTGGAGGGCAGGAGGAGAATGTTCTAGTGGCCATTGGTCTTATGAACATGGAATAAACGGGAATGACCTCTTACTATGTAGGAATCATGATGTGATTTCACAGTGGGGTGATGGCAGCACTGAAAGACAACAAGAGATTGCTTAAGGCCAGGTTCACGCCATTTTCGGGACCAGATCTGGAACGCAGTGAATTGCGTTTGCCACGTTCCGGAGCTGTTTTTTTTTTTTTCTTTTTAAGAACTTAAAATTGGCTTTTAAGTGCGTTTCCATGCATTCCATACCAGACAAAATGAGACCTGCAGTATTTTTCTGGTCTGGAACAGACTGCGCTGGTGTGAACAGAGGCCAGAAATAGCATAGGGATACATTAGGATGCATTTTGGGTCTGCAAATGATCTGGATGTGGTGTGAACGGGCACTTAAGTAAAGATATGACCTGTTTAAATGTTTGTTTCTCCCCATGGTTCAGCTTTAGGCCTGATGGCCCCCACACTCAAGAACAGAAAGCAAACCTTTCCTAGTGGTTGAGGGCTCCTGCTATTGCTGATCACCTTCTGATAATGTTAGTTGCCTCGCTGCTTATTTTAAACACTTGGCTCCAATCCAAGTAATTGTATGACGATTGCAGCCCCCATGTTTCTCAGGATAGCTATCCTTTCATTCTCATGGAAGGCCGTCCAAGAATCATAGTGGAGGTGCTCGCAGAAGTGTGACAGTTTCTACAGAGCACAGCTGAAAATTCCCTTTCCATAAGATTTGCTTCTCTAGTCCCTCCTGAGCCTTGTTTTTCCATTCTCTTTTCCATTCATGTTCCGCGATCATTGGTCATTGCATTAGCCGATGCACCTTGCCGTATTTCCAGATAACTGATAGAGGAAGATGCCTCGGTACTGTCTCCCTCCCAGTAAAATGACCTCCAAGACATTTTTAACATCCTGTTCTTTTCATCCGAAACTGCATAGCATGCGCTTAATGTCAAAGTAAGGGGTTTTCCAATGTGGTGTATTAATGTTTGGGGGTTCCAGAACCACCTTTAGTGGAATTTAGATTTCACTGAACATGTGTGATTTGTGAAGGCCGGTGCTGGCAGTGTCCTGATCTTTCCTCGCCCTCTGGTTCCTCCTTTTGAAAGACGTGGAGTGGAGCTATCTGAAGCTTTTGGATATTTCCATGGACAGTGTGCCTGCTGTTTTTATATGGACACTGCAGAGCGATGGCTGGTGAAGGTTAACGGAGCTGACGTGGGCACTGCAAACAGCCGCCATCACAAAGGGCCTATGAGCTTTTAGATCTCAAGTCTGTCTTTAATAAATTTGGTTCAGTTTTTACATAAGTGATCAGTTCTGTTTTCTTTTACAGGTTAAGAGAAGTTTCTGAGAAGCTCAATAAATATAACTTAAGCAGGTAAGTGAAGTAATTTCATTGATATGAAATATTAAAGATCTCCGGGCAAAACTTTTATTAACTCTTGCTGTGGGGCTACTCCTGCACCGAAAGGGTTAACTGCTTGTTTTTTTTTTTGTCTATGCCACTTGAACCGTGGCGTCGGCATGTTCTTGGACCAGTCCTTCCAGCCTCTCTGCCCCCTCCTCTGCAGCGGTCTAAGGTTCTGTAAATCATCACGTTGTATACACTGTGTATAGATGTGGGGATGCTGAGCAACATTCCAATGCCGCAGCATAAGAGGAGACATGGTTCCGAGACCGGAGAAGCAGGGAGCCGGCTCGGCAGTTCAGGTGAGTATTTTTTATTTTAGCACCCAGACAAAAATTGAGCAGTTAACCCTTGCAGTGTGGGGGTAGCCCCACTGCAAGGGTTAAGTTTTGCCCAGAGTTCTGCTTTATAAACAATGTTTGACTATTGCTTAACACTGTAGGAAAGCCTGGATATCTTTCTATTCCAGTGCTGCCTAAAGCTGAACTCCAGGCCCCTTTGGGGTTTCTCAGTAGCCCCAAAGGGGTGTAAATCTACTTTTTGTGTACCAAATATCTTTGCAAAGTCAGCATTTTGTAATGGTAGCAGTGGAATAATTCTATACTGCATATAGCGTAAGCAGAGTGAGGGAGAGATCCAGTAGGTCCACCTATCACAGGCTGCCTGCCAAAAGCTACAGGAGGGACGGATACAAGACCAGTCACCCTGCACAAGGAGGGAGAGCAGCAGTGACCGGTCTTTATTACAGGAAGCTCCTTCACAGGTAAAATGGAGGAGTTCTTGAATTCTGGATTATGTTACTGGCCTGGAGGAAATGCACAAGGGACACCAAGAGTTTAGTAAGAATACATACACCTCTTGTTTTTAAACAATTTGTTTAGCCTGCATTTTAGTTTTAAGGAGAAGGTTATGTAGGCAATATGGGCTCAGTTCACTCATTTACCATAACTGTTCTATTCAGCAGTGACCATCAATGAAGGCTGCTTATTTTTGTCTAGGTTTAAAAATAACTGAGTATACTCGCCCAATTCTCCGATCCGGCTTGCCCTTAGTGTGGTCCCTTCCGCCTCGCTCCCCCTCTGCTGCAGTGGTCGAAGGTCCCAGAGTCATCACATTCTATACACTGTGGACATGAGGACACCGAGGGATATATCCTCACTGCAGCGCAGGAGGAGACAGGCAGAAGGGACCGGTCCAAGAGCAAGCTGGTTCGGAGTATTGGGTGAGTATAGCTTTATTTTTGAACCTAAACAAAAATGGACACTTAACCCTTGCAGTGCTGGGGGTAGCTCCACCGCAAGGGTTAAGACATTTTCCCTGGAGTTCTGTTTTAAGACATGCATGGGCTAGGCTCCTAGTGTACTGACTTGTATAGGAGGTCTCGGATTTGCACAGAGTGAATGACCTTCTTGTGTCGTTCAGCTTGTGTCTTCATCTGGGAGCTTTCCTGGAGGTATAGAACGGCACAACTGAAATTTACATGCTCATGCTTTTTGCTTTTTTTAAATTCGGATATGGTTTTATATTTCTTTCCTCTAGTCACCCCCCATTGAATGTACTGGAGCAGACGACTATAAAACAGTGTGTGGTTGGACCGAATCATGCTGCTTTCCTCTTGGAGGTACCCTGCCAGTGTGTTTTTGTTTCTGCTTTCATCTGTTTAAGTACCACAGACACTTTTGTTTTTCATGCTTTATTTCTTATTAGGATGGAAGAGTTTGCAGAATTGGCTTCCTGGTCCAGCCAGACAGACTTGAATTGAGTAAACCAGAGAATAATGATGGGTAAGATTAAATTAAAAAGCAGATGACATTTGTGTTTTGATTTAAGAGCCTCTGTGCATGGGATAACAGAAGTCTTGAAATCTGTCATCCTGTCCATTGCTATGACAGCTGCCATTTACCACAGGAGTCAACACAGGCTGTTGGCGGAGAAGTCGTCATAGTAGTGTTCCTCTGACCGGCAGTGCCGTAGGGGAACATAGAGCCAGCTTCTCGTACGATCAGGAAGCTGGGCGGTGAGCTATGACCACTCCCGGCTTCCTGACTGACTTCCCGGCAAATCGGCATGGGACTGGCTTCCCGGCCAATTGGCAATGAGCCAGCCGAACAGCAAGTTCGATGCGGATTGGCTGGAAAACTATCTTTCCAGCCAGTCAGCGTCGAGCAGGCTTCCTGGCCAATCAGGAAGCTGGGAGGCATGTCATTACTCGCCGCCCGGCTACCCAGCCAATCAAGCCGGCCAAACAACATGGAGCCAGCTTCAGATTGCCCGGGAAGCCGGCTGCTTGCCAGCGGCAGCATCTATCTGTAGTCGGTATCAGCGAGTACTGAAAAGCAAAATATCGGTACTCAATACCGAAAAACCGGTATTGATGCATCCCTAGTTTTAAGCATTTTATTGCACAGAAGAGCCCAAAAAACGTGCATGCTTTTGCACAAGAATACCCTGTGTTTATTTTTTAGTCATGGCTCCTTTTTAAGGATGTGCAAAAATGTAAAAAAAATCGAAATGTAGCCCCTCAATTCTATATCAGACTCTTATCCCAGATAAGGGGTGACCCTTTGCAAAAACACAACCGGTTTCCCTCAGTAGCCCCTCCTTTCATATCGGTGCCCCCCTCTCTTTCAAAGTTCAGGACCCCCTTCACATCAGAAGTGTGTCTGCACTATGGAAAGGCATGGCAATTTCTAGGCTCCTCAGAGTGCCATAGTCCCCTGGTTGAGAGAGGCGATCTTCGAGCATGTAGAAAGATTTTAGCTGAACAGCATTATAAATCCTTTGGTGGATAAAATGTTCACGTGTTTCTGTGAATAGTCTATAATAACACCACACTACATAGTGTATTCTGATCTGTATAACCTGCATCTGTACAATATACCTCTCCTTGAAATGGGAATGAGGAATTGGTATATATGTAAGTGGTTGTTGCCATAATTCCCTTTTGTGAGAATGCATTTTTCCCTTTTTAGACACATTTTAACATTTATGTCCTTTAAGAAAGTATATATTTAATGTGTGACCTTTTGGCCGATTTTTTTTTTTTTTAAAGAATGGATTAGATGTCAGCTCTTTCTAGTTATTTAAAATGGATTAGTTAAAGAGAACTATGAGGTAAGTGTTTTTCCCCATAGTTCTCTTTTTAGGATCACGGGAGGACATATACTAACCTCCTCCCGTGACCCAAAGTTCAGTATATAGCGAGCTATTACCCGCGACATACTAAGAGCGCCGCATCCGGGACGGATCCCGACAATACTGTCTGCATCCACCCAGCTGCGTGAGTGACAACTGGCTCTGTCTATCTAGAGGCAGGGGAGGGGGGGGGGGGGAACTTCTGTGACCGTTTCTTTGTCACAGGTCGGCTCTATGCGGATTCGTGGAAATCACTCGCCTCATAGTTCTCCTTTAAGTGATTAAGGGGAATATTAAAACAAAATCAATCGCCCTTTCAGTATAGGTAATATTTGCAATGTTTTAATGATTTGAGGTTCAGGTGTCAGTTCTGCTACTTTTTAGAACCTGATCAAGTCCTGGCTTGCATTAACACCTAACCACCAACTGCTGTAATATCTGCACAGCTTCCTTCTTGATACTCTGCTTATGTGGGAAGTTTCTTTTTTAACCATCAAAAACTGACATAGTCTTATAAAGGTCTTTATGGTAACGGGTTCACTCTTGTATTTTACACTTTATCTTCCTAAAGGATTACTGTACAGTACAAGTTACTGGAAAGTACAGTTATCCTTTTGCTCCTTGGCCTAAACGAACTCCCCTTTTCCGAAAATACTTTAATGGATTGGGCAACTGTGGTTCATGGTAACCTTCAGTGCTTCTGGATGAAATCTTTTTTCCTGGCCGCACCTTTTCAGACTTCTGTGGGGTCATCTCTCAAAACAAGAGCTTCTTGGGAGACAACCCCATAGAATCCTATGAGGTCCTACTGTGCAGGCATCAACGATGGCTGCAGCTGACCAATCCAGCTATGTGTACATTTTGTGTGGGGGCAAGTTTTAGGGCAGAGTTGATAGGGTATTTGTAGTTGCATTACATTATAAGCAAAATTACAGTTATACTTTATATATTTCATAAAGATCCCTGTCAACGTTGCAAACAATAGAACTACAGAGTGCACTTAGATTTGGTTGTAGGTGGTTCGCCAATATATTGGGAAAACTGCTGTAAATTATATTGCAGACTTTGTAACTTGGACTTAATAGCAACATCACTCCTCAGTCTTGGGACTCTTTACAAAGAATATTTACCCAGAACACCCAATTAGTGCAGGTCTTTGTATTATACTCGGCTCTTACAAGCAGCACATGTATCCTCAGTTTAGTGAGTAGCTGTGTCTTTAGTGTGATAATTAGGAAACTGTCCCCACAAAGATCCCAAGGGTGTTGCTTTGGCTTGTATGTTGCCAGACTAAGTCCTTGAGCATTTGTACCTGGTGGTCCAGGCTTTACTTTACAACCCAGATGGTGGTGGCTTTCTTTATTCCTTTACATTTTTTTGACTGATATGCCCTCTTTTGTTTTCAGTTCAAAGTTGAACAGTGGCTCAGGGGCAGGAAGGACATCCAGGCCAGGCAGGACTAGTGACTCTCCCTGGTTTTTGTCTGGTTCTGAGACTCTGGGCAGACTGGCAGGCAACACCCTTGGGTAAGTTCTAATAGGGATAAGGCTGAAGATGTTTTCATTCCAAGTAAACTTCAATCTACAGTATATACAGAGGAGTATTGAGAGACGCCCTGAACATTTACAGCTGTGGGCAAGTGTGAGTCACAACTGGCTTACCCATTCTATATCTGCAGATGGATACTCTTATGAATGGATCTCCAAAATGTCATTTCTGTTTTGCTTGTTTCTTGATAAAGAGTGATATTGTTTCACATTGAAGCTTTTGTTCTTGTTTGAAATCTGAAACTGTACAAGATCGTCTTCATATAATTTTAGCACTGTGCTGCTAACTTATACCTTCTTTGCATCCATTTTGCTAGCAGTCGATGGAGCTCTGGAGTAGGTGGAAGCGGTGGTGGATCTTCTGGTCGCTCGTCAGCTGGGGCTCGCGACTCTCGGAGACAAACGCGTGTCATTCGCACCGGACGAGACAGGGGCTCTGGTCTCCTGGGTAGTCAACCACAGCCTGTGATTCCAGCTTCAGTGATACCAGAAGAACTTATATCACAGGTATTCACATTTCTTTTTCTTTGGTATGCATGTACTGTTTTGGATTTTTTTTTGTGCACTCCTACAGATTCGCTGATGGGTTGCAGCTCTGTTAGCATAAATCCAATTTGAAGTTCCTTTAGCTACTAAACAATTGGCCGCAAGGTTAAGAATTTTTTTTTAGCTTTTTCATGCTTTGCACTTTAAATTGATTAGGAGTTAAACCTTAATGTATTCAAATACCTTTTAACTATTTAACAAAGCTAGTTTATTTGTGTATCACTCGGCTGTAGATCCTAAAATCATCTCTGAATTGGTGCTGACACAGCCACCGTCCCTGTGTGTCTTGTAAAGTAGTCACCGCTCCAAGCTCGCTTCTGTGATGGAGTACAATCTCAATACACTTTAGCTGTAGATCCTCAAATCTTCTCTTTACTTGTACTGACACTGTCCCTTCTGGGGGGTGGTTGTTTGGCATGGTCCATGTGTGTGGTGTAAGGTAGCCACCGCTCTGAGCTCACTCCTGTGATGGACTGCAGTGTCACATTTAGTTTACTAATTTGTATTGAGATTGTAGTCCATCACAAGAGCGAGCTTGGAGTGGTGGCTACTTAACATGCGCAGGGACCATGAGGGCAAAAATTGTCCTTCCTTCTAGAGGGTGACTGTGTCAGGACCAATTCAGAGATGATTTGCAGATGTACAGCCAAGTGATGCACAAATTAAGATACATTTTTGTTAAAGATCTAACTCCTGAGTTTATTATGGGAAGTCCAGCATATGTTAAGGATCCCAACACCACTGTATAGTCCAAAACTGCTCTGCAAACCCACATGTCAGATTTAACTAGTGTTATTTGCTTGCCCTGCATTGGTGGTGTAGTGTTTAAATGTATGTGCGTGGTTTGATTTTACGGTAGCATTGGGGACTACCCGCGGCAAGAATATTGTTTTTTTTTCCACTGCACGCTTATAGGATGTTAGTCCGGCTCATAGGAGGACAGTGTATCTTTTTATTTCGTTTACCTTTTGGTCTTGGTATTTTAGCACTTGTTTCCTAAGCCATGTAAAATCCTTTATATAGAATGCTGTATGCTTTATTCATTGCTGGCTTGATGTACATATGAAGCACCTGCAGCGTTCCTCTGAGCAGTGCCCTTTGTTTTGTTTTTTCTACACATTATTTGTCATATTTTAAGTGATTATAATTCTGGCCTTGGGCCTTCCTGAATCTCTGTCTGTCTCTTACAGGCGCAAGTTGTCCTCCAAGGAAAGTCTAGAAGTGTGATAATTCGAGAACTCCAGAGAACAAACCTTGACGTTAATTTGGCTGTAAATAATCTCCTGAGTCGAGATGACGAGGACGGAGATGATGGAGATGACACTGCCAGTGAATCCTACCTACCTGGAGGTTAGTGCTGGATAGCTTGGCCCAAGTGCTGTACCACAAGAGGTGGTCTTATTTCTGGAAGCATAGTTTTAATTTTCGCATAGGCAGCTTAACCAGAAGAAACAAACCTCCTTCTGTTCACACGTTTTATGCTTGTGTGCGCTCAGATGGAGGATGTTCATGACTGTAGTGTAATATATCATGGCATTCTGTTTTCATGTTGTGCTTATTGACGGCTTGTGATCCTTGTGTTTATAGAGGATCTTATGTCACTGCTGGATGCTGACATTCATTCTGCTCACCCAAGTGTCATAATTGATGCTGATGCTATGTTTTCAGAAGATATTAGCTACTTTGGTTATCCATCCTTTCGGCGCTCTTCACTTTCCAGGATAGGCTCATCTAGAGGTAATTCTGTGCCTTTGTCTTCTTAGAAATTAGCCGTGTTATTTTTCTGGACTGTAGCATTCCCTTGTTATATGGGTGACCTGGTGCATAGAAGTAAGAGTGGAACACGACCGTAGCCCCAGAACTATTTAATGGACCAGTTATACCAAAAGTGTTCATTGCTTGTAAGAACTGCAGGTGTTTAATCTCAGAAATGTAGCCTCATGCAGATGACTTATTTCTGCGTGTACAGATGCAATCGCCTAGTTTACGAAAGGTGGATGTGCAAGTCTTCTGATTCCATTAATGCTTTTTTAATCAGAATTGCACAACTGGTGCATCATGACTCCAGAAGCAGTTAACAAATTTTTTTTGAGGTTCTACACAATGGCAGATTTTTTATACTTTGATGTTGGGAGCTGCAGATGTTGGGATATTGGAGCAATGGTCAAATTGATGCTTCTGGCCAAAAACAAGCTACAGAATGTTGGTTTATTTTTTTTTTTCTAAATCACAATTTACATCTTCACAAGTTACCAATGTAGCATAAGACTTGCTAATGGCCAAATTCATCTAATTAGACTTTGAGTGTTTCAATTACCTTTTAATCTTATGGTGAGAATTTTAGGCTCGAGCCCCCACATCACATCTTCTGCCATCTTCTGCCATCTTTGTGATTTCAAACTTCTCATAGTCGATTTTTAGTCTAATGTGACTAAAACAAGCTGATGATAATTCTCAGTATGGCCATTGTAAGGGCACAAACTTCAGCGGGGAGACCTTGCTCCTCTTGTCTGACATTAAAGAAACAGATTGATGACAGTCTGATGCCTTTCCCATCCTGTCTTCAATTAAAAACTGTTTTATGTAAAGGGCATTTCCACTTTTGCAGTCACATTTTAGAACATCACCACCATACGTTTGTGTTCCCTCAATATACCTAAAAAGATTTTTATTTTTTTTTGTAAAGTAACTGGTCCATTAACTTGTTTTTTTTTACATGTATATCAGTCTGCCTATATTCTTGGGTTCTGATTTTATAATTTATTATAACTTATAACTCAGCCTTACATTAAACATCCCATTTAGGACTAAGCCATGCTCTTTCTAAACAGCCCATAATTCAAGCTTTAGTTTGACCCTGGAAATGGTAGCAGTGGAGATAATTTCTGTAGAGCATACATAAGCTTTACTTGCTGCTAGATAAGAAGGGTCTTAAATAGAGATTGGCTTACTTTTATCCCACTGGTGTGACCCAATTGCATACCAGTTCTCCTTCTTCCCTTAGAAAGAGACTCTGAGCTGTTGCGTGAACGTGAATCAGTTTTACGCTTGCGTGAGAGGCGGTGGCTTGATGGGGCCTCATTTGATAACGAACGGGGCTCCACAAGTAAAGAAGGCGAGCCCAGTTTGGACAAGAAGAACACCCCAATACTGAGTCCAGTGTCACTGGGAGAAGACTTGCAGTGGTGGCCAGAAAAGGTAATCTGCTCTTGGTATGCATGAAATAGATGGGAAGAGTGACTTTACTCTAAGGAATACCAGTTGTGTGTCACTCCTTAAATTGTCAATGCTAAAGCCTGATGAAGGGACCCTGCGCGGTCCCGAAAGCGCTTGTTTGGTCATATGACAAGAAACTTCAATAAATGAAGCTTTTTGCTATCTTAAAAGTATTGGTGTGCTGGTGACATTTCTAAATTTTTGCTGACTCCTTAAATTGTGACACTGTTGGCATTAAAGTATAATAGAAGTGATTTAGATATCTGATAGAATTTAGTTTAGGGCAGTGTTGCATAGTATATAAAGGGGCATTTTTATTTTAGAGTCTGACTTTATGCAATGTTGTAGATTTACATGGTAAACTTTAAGTATTTAAATTTTCTTAAAGTGGAAGTAAAATGCCACAGCAAATTCACAATTTTAGGGGAGTGTATCATAATATGCATACTTGCATATTATGGCACCCTTGCCCAGCAAAGCAATCCCCTGCAGCACTACCATGTCTGGGCTTCCATCCTTGGGGGAGGCTTCCATCTTCACCTGGTTTTCCTTGTATGAAGTCTTTAGCCATCTTGATTGGCCAGGCCAAAATGATGTAACTCTCGCGCATTTTGCACGAGCGTTACCTTGTGCCGGCATAGAATCGCGCAGAGACTGTACACATGTGTGGCTCGGGTGTACAAAGTCTCTCTTGTCATACTAAAAGCCTACCTGTTAGCATTTTTTTAATGAGCTTTCTTCCGCTTTAATAATTTTTTTGGCTTGTAGTTGGTTAGCGTATTCTCAGCTGTAGCATATTCCTTTCCAGTATAGAGCAAGGATTATAAACTATGAATCTCTCACTAGAGGTCATACTCCCACAGGGTGCTTGTACAGGAGAATTTGTTACCAGATGGAGTTTTTATTCATGTGAAAAGAGTAGTGATTTGTGATGGGCCAAAGCCAAGTTGTTTTCAGTTACTATAAGTTGCTGTGTGCTCTAGTTAAAGGCTCATATAGTATTTTCTGTGCCATTAACATATCAACTAAGCTATTATAGAGAAACTGATTTGTAGGCTTTGTATTTTTTATATAGGATGCAACTAAATTCATTGCCATTGGGGCATTATACTCTGAACTAGTTGCAGTAAGCAGCAAAGGAGAGCTTTACCAGTGGAAGTGGTTAGAATCCGAGCCCTTCAGGAACCCACAGGTATGTTGTGTGTTGCACTAGCATATCGGCATGTGTTCTCAGTATGTACTATTTCTAGAAACCTTGTTTATGATG